GGGAGCAGCTCTGGGAAGCCCAAACTGGGCGTCTAGGGGAATTACAAGTCCTCTCCAGAGCCCAGAAATGGCCAGCGCCAGCCTGGGAGTCACGTGGGGGGAATTCTATCCCATTCCTGGCAGCAACCTAAAAACATTTTCAAATTTCCATTCTGCTGCCAGGGTTGCGCGCGCCCTGCGGGCTAGGAGCTTCGTGGCGAATGCCTCAGGCCACCAACCCCGGGTGGGGAGACCCGATCCTAGGTGGACTCAGAGGAGATCCGGTGTCCGGGTGCCCTGCAGGACTCCCTCGCCAGCCCGCGCTTAGGGATGGGTCCTGCTGACTTTCGTGCCAGTTGTCGGGCGCCATCTGGCGGCCACTTTTATGTAGTGTCTTCCCTCCGGAGCTCCAGCGAAATATGCAGCAGATGGATGTAGCCCCGGTGTCAGCTGCCTACTTCCAGGAGGCCGGCGACCTTAGCGGGATCATCCTGGTGGTGCCAGGGCTTTGGCGCATCATCTATTCGCCAAGCTTAAACGCCAAGGGGTTTTCATCGCTGCTCTCCTGGGCTAGGTTATGAGACTGCCGGTGTTGGGGGTCGGCCAGCATGCAGGGGTGTCGAGGATTAAAGGGAGAGGATTCCAGCTCCCGGACGCCGTGCCGCAGGTACTCCGGCTATCGGAGGCGCCTCCAGGGAGTTTCCCCAAGTTCCATTTCAGAGACCAGACCTGCTCCTTCCCGCCTGACGGTTTGGAAGGGCGTCTCCAGAGAACGGGACTCCCACCAATTTTTCCTAGTCCCGCTCGGGAGATGGAAACCAGCGTAGGTGGAACGGATAAATCTGTGTAGAGTGTCCATCCCAAGTGATGCTCGGTGGTCGGAACTTCCCCAAATATTCCGAAGTCCCCTCCCTGGATCTGCAGCCTGGCAGTATGGTCGGTAAGATGAGGCCGGCAGGGGTCTTTGCACGACCTCTTTGTCTTCTTTCCCACCCTCTAATTCTAGGGCAGGACTGCGAGAAAGCCAAGCTCCGAGGGCGCAGCTGTGCGCTCTGGCAGGCCCGGAGGGGGACCCGGGCACTTCCCTGTGCTGTCCGCGGGCCGTGCTGCACGCCACCTGGCGGCCACTTTATGTAGCTTTCTTCTCTAGCTCCAGTGGAAGTGGGAGTGGGATCCGATCCAGCCCAGTGACTGTGACAGAACCTGGGAAGCTATGTGCAAGGGCAGAATCATTCTGTTACAAAACTGTTTTTCTTATGATGAGAACTTTCAAGATCTACTTCCAAGTATGCAATATGCTATTATCAACTATTGTCACTATGCTGCCCCATGACTTACTGCCATCGCCCAATGGGCTCGTGAACAAAAGTGGTCACGGTGGCAGGCATGGAGGTCATGCATGGGCTCAGCAACATGGACTTCCACTCACCAGGGCAGACCTGGCTTCACACACCAGGGCTGAGACCAACACTGCGTCCCCAGTGTGGCATCATTCCCTGGGGTGATCCGCCAGCTAGCTACCTGGCGGCAGCTTGACTGTACTGGAGCCCTTCCAAATGGAAAGGGCAGTGTTTTATTCTTACTGGAATACATACTTGCTCTGGATATGGATTTGCCTTCCCTGCACAGGATGCTACTGCCAAAATTACTACCCATGGACTTGCAGGATGCCTTATTCACCACCCTGCTATCCCACACAGCACTGTTTCTAATCAAGGAACTTACCTCGAAGCAGAGGATGGGCAACAACGGAGCCATGCTCTGTAATCTGCTGGTCTTGCCATGTCCCCCACCAACTGGCTTCATAGTGCAGCAGAATGGCCTTTTGAAGACTCGGCTAGAGCACCAGCCAGGGAGCCCTACCTTGTGGGGCTACTCCCAGGTTCTCCAGAAGGCTACACAAGCTCTGAATCAGTGTCCAGTCTGGGGAGCTGTGTTTCTGATAGCCAACCCTCATGGGTCCGGGCAGCAAGGGTGGAAAGAGAAGTGGTACCACGCCCACTTCTCACAAACTCTATGTTCTGCTGCCTGAAGGACTTACTTACAGAGGGAGAAAGGCTTCCACGAGGGCCACAACAATGATTCTATTGTCAAGGCTGCCACCTGGCCATTTGGAGCTCCTCATACCTCTGAATCAATAAGTGAAGAAGGGGATTACAGCGCTAACCCCACCTACCAAGGGGAAATCAGACTCTGCTCAGTAGTGGAGCTAAGGAAGAGTGTGTTGGGCTACAGGAGACCTTATTCGACCACCTCCCAGTGTAACCACATCCTGGATCAAGGTCGGGGGAAAACTGCAGCAACCCCACGTGACTGTATTTACAGACAGGGCCTTTGAAGGATGTAATTACCTCCTTCAAGGGCTGGTGTCCTTGTAAGAAGAGATCAGGACACACACACAGGACACAGAGGGAAGACCATTGAGGACACAGGAAGAAGGTGGTTATCTGCAGGCCAAGGAGAGAGGTCCCAGGAGAAAACAACCCATCAGACAACTTGATTTCGACTGACAGCCTCCAGACCGGTGAGCAAATAGATTTTTGTTGTGGTTTAGACAACACAGTTGTGCAGCACTTTGTTCCAACAGCCCGAGCACACTAATCCAGTGACCATCTCATCCTTTGGGCACACATGTTTCCATTATAAAGTTGGGCCTGGTTACAGAGGCCCCGGAAAGGCAGACATCTCCCTACCACTGTCCACGGGCACATAGGAGATAACAGAAATGCAGTGGGGTGGCAGGGCACGGTGTCATGGGTAGAAAGACCACTTGTGATGAGTCCCATGTGCTCTCTGCTGATTCTTCCTCCAGGCTCACGTCACTGGCACAGTGCTCGTGGCCAGGCGGGCAGGGAGAATAGGGTAGTCATTATGCGACTGAGTGAGGTCCGCTTCTTGTTGTCCAGCAGACACGCAGACTCCTCCTGTGCTGCAGGGGAGCCAAGCCTCCTCCCCTTTCCCTCCTTTCCTGCTGCCTCTAAGTGCAGAACTCAGCACATCTCTGTGTTACCGATGCCCTTGAGGCTCAGGATGTTTCATTACCAGTTGGAGTGAAACAGTTTCACTTTCCCTGTGGCGCAGGAGCATGAGCACCAACCACGGAGTGCTTCCCTCAGCTTTAGGGGTCCCCTGCTTTATCTTGAACTAACCATCAGTGCAACTCATCAGGGGTCTCTGGTACAGCAGTCAAAGACCACTTGCCCCTCGTCACCAAACACTTCAGTGACCAGGTCCACAGCCCAAAGAGTTATGCTCTGCATCTGGCCAGCCAGCTTGTAGGGTCTCCCCTATCTTTTTTCCAGAGTATCATGACCCTGCCAACCTCCAGGAGGAGAGGGAAAGGCCTGATGGTATTAACCTGTTCAGAGAATGCAGGACAAGGCCCCCTAGTGTGTGGCCTATTTTCCGCAGCACAGATGTGCCCACTTGTGCCAGAGTTGCAGCTTTAGCAACAGGAACATAAATAAACCTCTTCACTTTGTAAAAGATAGAAAATGTTCTCTGACTGCCCGAGGGAGGCAGTGCTGAGAGTCCGCTGACCTTATTTCAAGAAAATCTGCTCAGCCAGCCAGATATCATTTACACAGCGAACACCTGAGCATCAGAGGACGGTTTCTAACTGCAGAAACTCCCACAGTGCACACTGAAAACCAGCTGTACGTTTGTACCACAGTGTCTCACACCAATCGGATCAAGCATTACTCACAAGGTTCCTTTTACTTCTTTTTCTTTCTTCACAGCAAATTTTTAGCCCAAACCCTACTAGGTATTTTTTAAAACAGAAATACAGACCCAAAAGGGTTAATGAGGCTCACTCCTGTTGCTGCAGTTTTCTTTCCCGAGTCCAGGCAGCCCAGCCAGGCTCACGTCTGTTGCTGTGATCTTGCTTCTTCTGTCCTAAGCCCATCCTTTGTCACACTGTCCCCAGGTTTAATAAACATACTCTCACAACCCCCTGGATCCTTCCCACACAAAGTCCAGAACTCACACATCCCAGATCGTGAGGGGCAGACCTGCCTTCCCCTGGTCCCCTTCTCAGGACAAGGCTTGTTCACTCTAAGGCAGGAAGTCCCCATCTCCTGCCCCCAGGAGTCCAGCAGAATATTCAGCAGCCCAACTTCTTGGTAGGTTTTTATATTGTATAAAAAGTGTAATTGGGGGTTCCCAATAATTTATTGTCAAGGTCAGAATGAGGGGCTGTGGATGGCAGCTGAAGCCAGGCACTGCCTCTGAAAAGTGCGGGGTGGCAGGTGCTGCAGAAACCACATTAATGTTACCTGTCACTACCAGAACTAATAAGTAGAGACCAGGATTGAATCTTTATCTGACTTTCCCTTCCTAGAACACAATGGCTCAGCGCCCCCCCCCCCAAACAAAGGCAGAATTGCTTGTGACCAGTTCCTGGAAAAACAGCTTTCCACACACATTAATCACTTAAGCCTATCAAGGAAAACTACAGCTAAAACCTCTAATTCTTGAATTCCCCTATCACCTCCAGGGCACAGGCGGGTGCCTGGAGACCAAAGGTGTGGTGGGGAGTCACTAGACAAGGGTCCCAGACAAGCATCCCAAGTGTGGAAGGCAGGGAGACTGAGCCCAAAGGCGACAAAACCTGCTCAGGGTCACGTCGCTTCAAACTGGTGGAGCTCAGGGGGCTTAGTAACTCAATCACTTTTAGCAGGGAGCCACCGGGTTGGGGCCGCGGGACTCTCAAGCCGACCCCACAGTTGCATGCAGGTGCACGACGAGGCCGCCACACTGCGAAACCCAGCTAAGAGATAAACTGTCCAGAGGAAGCAGGGTGATAGGGAAGAGTCTGGGAACAGATCTTTGCGAGTATCTCGGAAATCTCTTGGAAATCTCGCATTTCTAGGCTGTAGAATCACGCCCTAGTGTTTGCGTGGGGAGAACTGCAAAGTAAGGGGCGGAGACAATTGGAGACCCTCCCAGGAGCTTCCGTGGAGGGGCGGGGCGAGCCTCGTTTTGGCCGACGCGGAAGGCTGGTTACGCCCTGCCCAGGACTGTCGTAAAAGGGGGCGGGACGCTCCGCGGTGAGGAGCGTCGCTCTGGTCCGCGACTTTTTGGGTGGAGGGGCTATGGATCGCTTCGCGGGCGCCTTTGAGGAGGCGGTGGATGGGACTCGGCAGCAGGAGCGGCACTATCAGCTCCTCTCAGCGCTGCAGAGCCTGGTCAAGGAGCTTCCCAGGTACGCAGCCGCGCGGGACGGCGGGTGAGACCGCTCCAGGTCCTGCCCGCGCTCACCGCGCCCCTCTGCCCCCAGCTCTTTCCAACAGCGCCTGTCCTACACGACTCTCAGCGACCTGGCCCTGGCGCTCCTCGACGGCACCGTGTTCGAGATCGTGCAGGGGCTGCTGGAGATCCAGCACCTCACCGAGAAGAGCCTGTACAACCAGCGCCTGCGGCTGCAGAACGAGCACAGAGGTGCGAGATTGGGGGGGCGGGGCGGTGGGACGACCCACGCTCCTCCTGCGGTAGGTCAGCCTGGCAGCCCTCGGTTTCTTTGGGCCGAGCCCTTCCCTGGGTGTAAGTTCCTAAAATTGACCAGACCAAGGGCGAGGAGGCTTTGCTAGGGCTTTTTTGGAGACAAATGGGTCAAGCCAGCCTTATTTTCTCAGTTGCACCCTTTTAGCATAACACTTGAAACTTCTTCCTCGGGCTTCCCTGTGCTCCCACCCCCATCCAGGCAGGATGGCCCGAGACCCAGGGGCAGATCCTGGTGGCAGCGGTCGCTATCGCTTGGCCGCCTCCGGGGATGCCCCTAAGTGTTGGCAGCTGTGTAGCGCCCTTTCTGGTCAGCTTCCTCTCCTGTGGTGCAGAGCCCCCCACCAGCTGTGATTGCCGTGCACTGTGTCCTGTGGCACCTTTTGGGACCCCCAATCTTAGCCACACAGTGAGCCAAAGCCCCGAGAGTCTCCGCCCATCCCAGTTAGCCTCACTGGGCAGGGGGCGTGGGAGGTTCTCCCCAGCCCTTTCCTGCAAGGTATTCTGGGCAGCTCTCCCTACCCCATCAGATTTCCCACTTTTATTATTTTACTGTTCATCCTCTTATTTGTTAAAAACTTGAAACATTTAGAAACATTGAAAGAATAGTATAATGAACACCCATATGCGCTCCAGCCAGACTCAGTAATTAACATTCTGCCAAAGTTTTTTATATCCCTAAATCTCGGCAGCATCGTAGAGCCTCACCAGGAGTGGTCAGAATTCCTCTAGACCACACTTTTCAACCACAGCACTGACTGTGTTTGTGGCTAGACAACTTTTAACAGTGAGACTGTGTCCTTTGCATAGCAGGAAGCATAGAAGCATCCCTGGCGTCCACCACTAGATGACAAGGCCCTTCCTCTGCGAGTCCTGACAACCAAGAATGTCTTCAGACCTCTTTGGGGGTCAGCGTTAGCCCAGGGTTGAGAGCCAGTGGTCCAGGACAAGCAACACTGTCCTGTGTGACCACAGTGGGTAGCCTCCTGAGAAACTAATCATTCAGGGGTGTCTTCCGACCTTCAGTCCATGGTCACGTGACCCCAGTTGTCTCTGATCATCTGTCCTTTATAAGGGTTTAGTGTAGGTTCGTGTGTTGCTGTTGGTTACTTTGGTCTCTCAGCTTCTGGGACTGTCCCCAGCATTTATTGCGGCACTGACTTTCTGAAGATTCCAGGGCCTTCCACCTGCAGCATGTCAGCACTCAAGCTCTGTCAGATCGCTGCTTCAGGCTGGCATTTAACCTGTCTCTCTGCCCTCTGTGTGTCCTGTGAAGAGGACAGCAGGTAGGGCCTGACGGTATGCAGGGTAAATGTTCCTGGCCAGAAATTCTTCTAGTGATGTAAGGCCACTCTCTAGGGGGACAGGTGATGTACGTCTGCCCTAGGATTTGTGTGTTTCTATCGGAAGTGGGTGTTGGTTTTGTCAGAGTCCTGTTAGGCATCTATTGAGGTGATCAGTAGTAGCTTTTTGGTTGCTATGGTGAGTTGCATTGAGTTTTTAGTTTCTGGGCTAAACTATATTCCTGTAATAAATCCTGCTTGGTCATGATGTATGCCCTTTTTGTCTGTGTTGGACGGAATTTGCTAAAAGAATTTTTGCCTCTGTCCATGGCGGACATCACTCTATACGTCTCTTGTGGTGTGTTCGTCTACTGTGGGTGTCAGGGTGCTGCTGGCTTCGTGGGATGAGCTGGGAAGTGTTCTCTCCAGTTTTCCGGAAGTGTTTGTGTAGGATCGGTATTCCCTCTTCCTGTGTGGGTGGCTGTCTTTGTAAACATTTCTGTTGGGGTACAAGATGCATGTGTTCAAAAATACAGATCCAAAATACATAGCTTATTATTATCATTTTTTAATCCTCACCCAAGGATATTTTTATTGATTTTTTTTTAAATTTTAGTAAGAGGAAGGGGGAGAGAGAGAAACATCAATCAGTTGCTTCCCGTTCGCTCCCCTACCAGGAATAGAGCCCAAATGCTCAGTATGTACCTTGACCACTAGCCCGCAGCCTTTATGGTATGCAGGACAGTCCTGCACTCAGCTCAGCCAGCCAGCCAGCCAGCCAGGGCTCATTCTTCTTCTTTTTTTTTTTTTTTTAAATTTTTTTATTGATTATGCTGTTACAGTTGTTCTATTCCCCCTTTATTCCCCTCCACCCTACCCCTCATCCCCACCATTACCCCCCCTTTAGTTTATGACCATGTGTCTCAAGTCCTTTAGATTCTATATTTCCCATGCTATTCTTGCCCTCCCCATCTATTTTCTATCTACTGTCTATGCTACTTATTTTCTGTACCTTCTCCCCCCTTCTCCCTCCTCCCACTCCCCTGTTGCTAACCCTCCTTGAGATCTTCATTTCCATGTTTCCACTCCTGATCTAGCTGTCCTTTTAGTTTGCTTTCGTTTTAGGTGTGGTTGTTAATAACTGTGAGTTTGTTGTCCTTTCACTGTTCATGTTTCTTTAACTTCTTTTTCTTAGATAAGTCCCTTTAACATTTCATATAATAAGGGCTTGGTGATGATGAACTCCTTGAATTTGATCTTATCTGAGAAGCACTTTATCTGTCCTTCCATTTTAAATGAAAGTTTTGCTGGATAGAGCAATCTTGGATGTAGGTCTTTAGATTTCATGACTTGGAATACCTCTTTCCAGCCCCTTCTTGCCTGTAAGGTCTCTTTTGAGAAATCTGCTGACAGTCTGATGGGGATTCCTTTATAGGTGATTGTCCCCTTAGCTCTTGCTGCTTCTAGGATTCTCTCCTTCATTTTAATCTTGGCTAATGTAATTATGATGTGCCTTGGTGTGTTCCTTCTTGGGTCCAACTTCTTTGGGACTCTCTGAGCTTCCTGGATTTCCTGGAAGTCTATTTCCTTTGCCAAATTGGGGAAGTTCTCCTTTATTATTTGTTCAAATAAGTTTTCCACTGGTGGCTGTGCCTTTTCCCCTTCTGGTACCCCTATAATTCGGATGTTGGAGCGTTTAAAGATGTCCTGGAGGTTCCTAAGACTCTCCTCATTTCTTTGAATTCTTGCTTCTTGACTCTTTTCTGTTTGGCCATTATTTGCTTTCTTCTGGTCCACTCCATTGATTTGAGTCCCAGTTTCCTTTTCATTGCTATTGGTGTCCTGTGTAATTCCATTCATTTCAATTAGTTTCGCCTTCATGTATTTGTCTAATTTGTCGGTATAATCAACCAGTTCTGTGAGGATCCTGATCACCAATGTTTTAAACTGTGCATCTGTGAGTTTTGCTATTTCTTCATCACTTAGATTTATTGGCTCTGGGGCTCTGAGATCCTCCTGTGCCATTCTTGGTCTGTTCGGGCCCTTTAAGTGTGAGAAGCGGCGCCTTGGATTCCCAGGTCGCTGGGTTGTGACGCTGTATGTGGGGGCGTGGTCAGAGCGGGGAAATGGCGGCCCCCCTCTGCTGTTTCTCACAGCTGGGTGCGGAGGAGCAGCGCCTTAGGCGGTTCACCTGGGCCGGGCCACTCAGAGTCGCTGGGTTATGATGCTGTATGTGGAGGTGGGGTCAGAGCAGGGAAATGGCGGCGCCGTCCACTGCTGCTTGCCGTGGGGACCTGCCGCCCGGTCCAACCGCCCACTCCCTGGCCTGTCCACTGGCACACAAATGCGCGACCTCAGTCAACACGCAGCCCCGCTGCCCCGCTGTCTCCCCCGCGGTCGCTCGCCTGGTCGCTCGCTCGGTCGCTCACTAGGTCCGACCCTGCGCCTGGATTCCGCGCGTCTGGATTCCGCGCCTGAGTCCGTCTGACCGAGTCCTCCTGTGCAACCCTGCTCCGCCAGCAGCTGGTTTCGCCCCTTACAGGTCAGGCTGAAGAATTTGTTGTTAACGGACTTCCAAAAAGTTCAATTTTCCGTGTTCTGGCTGTGTTTTCTGTTGCTAATATTTAGCTTTCTCTAATCTTGGTTGTGTGAGAAGGCACGGCACATCCACCTATGCCTCCATCTTGGCGGAAGTCCTCATTATTCTTCTTAATGCTCAAATCATGCCACATGTGGCCAGTGGGGGAACTTCAGCCTGGCTCCTGTGTCTCTTTGATGTGTTGTCCCCATCATTCTTTGAGTATGTCCTTGCTTTCTGATAGAGGAAAATGTTCAGACTCCTCTTGTCTTTCCCTGCCTCAGCCCCTCTTCTAGTTAGCCCACCTCCAGTGTCCCCCAACTGACCAGCCTCCCATTGGGGTGGACCTTCCCCTTCAGCCACCATGAAGTGTTTCCACTCCTCCTGCCTTTGGCTGAGTCTCTGCCAAATGCAGGCAGCGGTGTTGGCTCACTCTTGCTGTCAGTAAGTCGCGCTTGCTTTGGTTTTGGTGATATTTGCTTATCTCCACAGAGTTAGTAGTTTGGGGAGCAAGTAAAGCACTCAGAATAATAATAATTGTGAAAGGAAGCCCACCATTTCTCCATAGGGCTGTAGTTCCCTTTTTTATAAATTGTGCTTCATCGGATTTATTTATTAAAGACACGGAGTGCTTCATGAATTCGAGTGTTATCCTTGTGCGAGACCCTCTCTGATCTCTGTAGCGTTTCAGTTTTCATGTACGTGCTGCTGAGGGAAGCCTGGGGCTCGGTTCCGTTCGGTAGGGAGTTTTTGGTAACACTCTAGACCTTTTGTTGCTTTTCCTTCAGAATGTTAGTACAGGTATTGCTGCTGGTGGTGGTGGGCAAGTGCCCTGTGACTTTCTGCTTTTCCTTTTCTCTGCCTTAGCAGCTGACAATCGGCTGTGGCTGCTGTCCTTGGTCATTACTAAGGCCATGGCCCTTCCACCCTGGCAGCAGGCGCAGCTCTCTGCCCACCTCTGGCTGCTCGTCCAGTGGAATCAGAGTTGACCTGGGGTTTGTAGCAACATTGAGTAAACAGAGTGAAGGGGATGATATTTTCCTGCATTTGTGTGTGTCCCCCAATCCCGCCTCCACATGGCTCACACATTAACTAGGGAGTGTCTTTTTTGTCTCGGTGTGTCAGGGGTGGCCTTGGTTTCAAACTCATTTAATATGATGTATGTCATAGTTGAGGGGTGCACAGGATGTCAAGGAGGAGACTGGAGAAGACTGTGGGCACAGCAGGGGCCAAACTACTGGCAAGGGAACCCCAGGGGCCCCCCGAGAAGAGCTGTGATGTGAGGTTCCTGCCGAGGACAGAGTGTGTTTCCTCATGGTCAGGGACCCCATGTTATGGACGCTTTAGCCACTTGACTCCTACTGGCCTGGGATTTGGGCTGCATGCTGTTGTATGTTCTGTTGTGACAGTTCCTTTCCATTCCATGATACCTGTCCCCTCTGTCCAGTCCTGTTGGACTCCACGCTGATGTCTGTATCATTCCAGTTTCAGTACGTGCTGCTGAGGCGAGCCTGGGGCTCAGTCCCGTTCAGTGGGAAGGTTTTTTTTGTTTGTTTGTTTGTTTGTTTTTTCTCTTTTTTTTCTTTTTATTGATTATGCTGTTACAGTTGTTCTATTCCCCCCTTCATTCCCCTCCACCCTACCCCCCCATCCCCACCATCACCCCCCCTTTAGTTTATGACCATGCGTCTCAAGTCCTTTAGATTCTATATTTCCCATGCTATTCTTGCCCCCCCATCTATTTTCTATCTACTGTCTATGCTACTTATTTTCTGTACCTTCTCCCCCCTTCTCCTCCTCCCACTCCCCTGTTGCTAACCCTCCTTGAGATCTTCATTTCTATGTTTCCACTCCTGATCTAGCTGTCCTTTTAGTTTGCTTTCATTTTAGGTGTGGTTGTTAATAACTGTGAGTTTGTTGTCCTTTCACTGTTCATGTTTCTTTAACTTCTTTTTCTTAGATAAGTCCCTTTAACGTTTCATATAATAAGGGCTTGGTGATGATGAACTCCTTGAATTTGATCTTATCTGAGAAGCACCTTATCTGTCCTTCCATTTTAAATGAAAGTTTTGCTGGATAGAGCAATCTTGGTTGTAGGTCTTTAGATTTCATGACTTGGAATACCTCTTTCCAGCCCCTTCTTGCCTGTAAGGTCTCTTTTGAGAAATCCGCTGACAGTCTGATGGGGACTCCTTTGTAGGTGACTGTCCCCTTATCTCTTGCTGCTTCTAGGATTCTCTCCTTCATTTTAATCTTGGCTAGTATAATTACGATGTGCCTTGGTGTGTTCCTTCTTGGGTCCAACTTCTTTGGGACTCTCTGAGCTTCCTGGATTTCCTGGAAGTCTATTTCCCTTTGCCAGATTGGGGAAGTTCTCCTTTATTATTTGTTCAAATAAGTGTTCCACTGGTGGCTGTGCCTTTCCCCCTTCTGGTACCCCTATAATTCGGATGTTGGAGCGTTTAAAGATGTCCTGGAGGTTCCTAAGACTCTCCTCATTTCTTTGAATTCTTGCTTGTTGACTCTTTTCTGTTTGGCCATTATTTGCTTTCTTCTGGTCCACTCCATTGATTTGAGTCCCAGTTTCCTTTTCATTGCTATTGGTGTCCTGTGTAATTCCATTCATTTCAATTAGTTTCGCCTTCATGTATTTGTCTAATTTGTCGGTATAATCAACCAGTTCTGTGAGGATCCTGATCACCAGTGTTTTAAACTGTGCGTCTGTAAGTTTTGCTATTTCTTCATCGCTTAGATTTATTGGCTCTGGGGCTCTGAGATCCTCCTGCGCCATTCTTGGTCTGTTCGGGCCCTTTAAGTGTGAGAAGCGGCGCCTTGGATTCCCAGGTCGCTGGGTTGTGACGCTGTATGTGGGGGCGTGGTCAGAGCGGGGAAATGGCGACCCCCTCTGCTGTTTCTCACAGCTGGGTGCGGAGGAGCAGCGCCTTAGGTGGTTCACCTGGGCCGGGCCACTCAGAGTCGCTGGGTTATGATGCTGTATGTGGAGGTGGGGTCAGAGCAGGGAAATGGCGGCGCCCTCCACTGCTGCTTGCCGTGGGGACCTGCCGCCCGGTCCAACCGCCCACTCCCTCGCCTGTCCACCCTCGCACAAATGCGCGACCTCAGTCAACACGCAGCCCCGGGCCCGGCTGTCTCCCCCGAGGTCGCTCGCCTGGTCGCTCGCTGGGTCGCTCACTAGGTCTGACCCTGCGCCTGGATTCCGTGCCTGAGCCCGTCTGACCAAGTCCTCCTGTGCAATCCCGCTCCGCCAGCCGCTGGTTTCGCCCCTTACCGGTCAGGCTGAAGAATTTGTTGTTAACGGACTTCCGAAAAGTTCAATTTTCCGTGTTCTGGTTGTGTTTTCTGTTGCTAATATTTAGTTTTCTCTAATCTTGGTTGTGTGAGAAGGCACGGCACGTCCATCTTGGTGGAAGTCTCTTCTCCAGTGGGAAGTTTTTGATAACTCTCTAGCCCCTTTGCTGCACGTCCTTCAGAGTGTTGGGGTCGGGTGCGGTGCTGCCAGCAGTGGGCGCAAGCTTGTGTTAATGGTACGGTTTAGTGGGGCTCATGGTGCTTTGCTTGCTGGCCCAGCTGAGGCTCTGTCCCAGCAACACAGACTGCCCAGCTCATCCCGGCTTGGGGCTGCCTAGGTCCAGGCTCACTCTACTCCCTCTGGGAGCTGTGTGGGGTGGGGGGCTCTGCCTACCTGAAGGGCGCTGCAAAGTGGGGAGCAGTAGCCCCACACTCCCTTGGGCAGTGACCCCTCTCCTTACCCTACTGTCCCACACCATGTCTGGGTGGTCTCCTGGACATTTCGGTGGATGTCCCATGGATGATGAGCAGGTTGCACCCACGGCCGCTGGCCTGTGGCTTTGTGAACCCAGAAGGCTCCAGACCAAAGTCTCCCACCCCATTGGTCTTGAGTCCAGGCTACAACCCTGGCCCTGCCCCCACACCACTGCCCTGCCTCACCTTCTAGTGCTCTACACCATCCTGGGTCCCCTGGAGCCCCAGTGCTGGAGAAAGGCCCTGCCCTGGGTGAGGGTAAGATTAAGGGGGCTGGGAGTCCTCCCCAGAGCACCACCCAGCTTCCAGTGCAGGGCTTTGGATGGGCTGGGCCATCAGTTGGGGCCTCACAGCTACGCCTTTGGCCTGGCTGCCCTGGGCCTGACACCAGTGCTGAGGTGGGGCAGGTGCTGAGGCGGGAGGTGTTCCCGGGCTCCTCCATCCCGTCCCTGCTGCCTCCTGATGGACTCTCTGGTCTTGTTCCCACCCAGTGCTCAGGCAGGCCCTGCGCCAGAAGCACCAGGAAGCCCAGCAGGCCTGCCGGCCCCACAACTTGCCCATGCTACAGGCAGCTCAGCAGCGCGAGCAGGAGGTAGGGGTGCAGGTTCTGCTGACAGGGCCTGGTGGAGGGGCTCAGGGCGGCTTGGGGGCTGCTGGAGGCCCAGTGAGTTCTTGCATGTGGCTTTTCACCTGGGGTGTTGGGGTGCACCAGGACCAGGAAGAGACAGTACAGTCCTCTCCATTCCCCGAGATTGCAGCTCTTAGTGGCCCAGGCCTGTTCAGGGCAGGTGCTGAGTAGGGACCATTGTGTGCATGGCCTTGGAGGTGCCAGGGCAATGAAGGGGTGACAGGGACAGTCAGCGGGGGCCCATCCTGCTCCCAGGTTACTCAGGGACAGCCAGAAAGTCTGCATGAAACCCAGAAGCCACGGGTGGTGGGGGTGCGTGCAGAGACATGTGCAGGGCCCAAGGCAGCTGTAAGGCTGGGCGTGCAGGGAAGAGGGGCCGAGCTGGAGGGGCCGGGCTGGTGGCCCCAGTGGGGAAGTGGTGCACACAAAAGCCCCAGGGTGGCTGCCAGCTCGCCAGTGAGCAGGGGTGGCACAGGCAACTAGCCAGTTCATGATGTCCTGAGTTGTTGGCACTGGGCAAGGCCTGGCGCCCAAGGGAGGACACTGAGTAGGAGATCCTGGAGGGAAGAACCTTTGCAGGGGCAGCCAGGCCCCTCTGGAGGATTTGCTGTGGCACAGGGAGTGATCTGGGGGCAGTACGGATGCTGTCAGTGGTCTTGGAGCCTGAGCTTTTAGGAGGGCGGGAGGTGGCCAGCCAGGACCCTGTATCTGGGGCATTGATGGGTCAGGCTCAGCCCCTGCGCCATGCCCCTGAGCGGCCCTCACCGTGGCAGGCAATGGAGCACCGGATCCGGGAGGAGCAGCGGGCAATGGACCAGAAGATCATCCTGGAGCTAGACCGGAAGGTGGCAGACCAACAGAGTACACTGGAGAAGGCGGGGGTTGCTGGCTTCTACGTGACCACCAACCCACAGGTCAGTGCCCTGGGCCTGTCTGGGCATAGCCCAGGGGATGCTAATCCCAAAAAGGCCAGATTCCGTCTGGGTTTTGGGGCTGGTTGCCTGGGAGCAGTGTGGGGGTAGGCCTTGCAGGGAGAGGTCTTAGGCTGCAGGAAGGGTTTCTGTGCAGTGCTCAGCACAGGCGGGTCATGCTGCCTCTGCCCACAGGCATGCAAGCTGCCAGGCTGCCGGGGAGGTACTCACCTCCCCCTGCTCCAACTCCCACTGTAGGGCCCTCTGCTGCTGCTCCCCTTCATACATCTCTGTGCGCCAGGACAGCTGCGGGCCCTGCTACGCAGTGGAATCCTGGCCTCTGGCAGGCTGTGGCCAGGCTTCACTGGAGTCAGCCCTCTGGGTTCATTGCCTGGCACACCCTAGGCCCTGATACCTGCTTCTGGGCCCCTGGGAAAGGAGGCTTCTGTGGGGCCTTTGTGTGAGGCGGGACCAGGTGTCACTGTGGCCTCATGGTGGTCCCTCTGCATCCCAGGAGCTGACGCTACAGATGAACCTGTTGGAACTCATCCGGAAGCTGCAGCAAAGGGGCTGCCAGGCGGGGAAGGCAGCCCTGTGACCAGGTGGGGTCCCTGCCAGTTGCCCACTGCCCGTCCTGGCTGGGAAGGCAACCCAGTCCCACTGTTGGCTCAGGTAGCAGAAAGCTAAGGAATTCGTCTTCCTGACGTCTGGCCACTACCTTCCCAGGTGCCTGCAGTAGGGGTCATGTACCCTCTGAGGAGAGGGAGAGTGGACCCTGGCTGTGTCTGCCACCCACCTTTGTCTGGGTTTTTATGTCAGCTAGAGCTGTGTGGTAGAAGGCAGGCAGGCCGGCCCAGCCTGCTGGCTCTGCCCCGGGGCTGGGCACAGGGTGCGGCTGCAGGTGCTGGCACCGTCCCATTCCACCAGGCACGCCTCAGCCTCAGCCGCACCCCAAGCTTCATGCCTATTCTGGCCTTGGCCCCACCCTTGGTGGGTGCAGCCCCTGAGTGGAAGAGGCCCCGCCACCCAAGCCCCGTGTGACCCAGAGAAATAAAGGTGCCTCGGTACAGCCTGCATGCAGCTCACGTGACAGCTCTGTGGTGCCTGTCCTGCCCAGGTCCAAGGACATCCTGTCTGCCTTGGTCTAAGCCTGGTGGCCCTGCTGTTGTCCATGGAGGCAGCGGTGTCCAGCACCCAAATGGCAGGAGCTGCGGTGCTGCCCGAAGGGAAGCACGGGCCTGATGCTCAGGGGCACAGGGTTTGGGACAGGCAGAGACCGAGGTGAGATTTCTCAGGCCTTGGGAACCACCCCTCCCTGCTGCTGACCCCGCTGAGGGCCCCCAGGGAAAGGGCTTTCTTAGGCTCTTAACTGCAGAGATAGTGGTTTATTGGTGGGCCCACTTTCCTCAGCATGACCACCCTCCACCTGGGGGGCTTTAGCTCTGTGGGTTAGACCCTGGTGGGAGGTGGGCTTTGGGTCAGAGGGGCAGACAGAGATGGGGCAGTGCCCACTCAAAGGGCGGTTCCTGGCCATCTCTGGCTGTGGCAGGTATCAGACTCAGCCTACGCTCATGTGCCCACATCCTGGGTGGGGGTAGCAGTCCCACAGGCCCCACTTCAAGCAGGTCTTAGGTGTCTAAAGGTGAGTGTGTGGGAGGCTGGGCTGGCACAGCCTTGGCTCGGGGCACCTGGACCCACAGACCCCTGCCCCAGCCGGGAGGCCAAGTCTGGTGGCAGTGGCATACCACAGGCACTAGGCTGGATAGTGGAAGAGGCTGCCTGTGCGGAGCCTCCGCTTCAGCTCTTGCCATAGCAGCTGCCGCTCCCGCTGGGCACCCTTCATGACACTGCTGTTCTCCAGGGCACGGCGGGACAGGTAGGGCAGCACCTCCATCACAGGTCCATAGGGCATGTACTTGTACACAGGGAAGCCTGCCTGGCCTGTGTGCACAGGCAGAGGCCCTGAGTCCCAGCCCTGCCCCGCCCCCCTGCCACACCACCCCGCCCCAGCCCTCCCCCGGGGAGGCCCGCTCACACACCCAGTGGAAAGCTGATCTGGTCACACATGCCCAGCAGCTGTCCAAAGTACACCTGGCAGTCGGCAGGGTGCAGGCCCAACTCCTCCATCCTGTAACAGGACAAGGTGGCAGGTGAGCTCCCTGGGCCCTGTGCTGGCTCTGAGCCCCTCTGCCACCCTCAGACAGCCACCCACATGCTCTCCCCTCCACCCCTCAGGGTGGAGTGTGGGCAGGAGCTCTGCCCTGCAGCTCCCAACCCAGCTGTGACTACCAAGTTCCGTCCTTCCCTAGCCAGCCTCTCCTCCTGCTGTGCTCACTCCCCAGTGGCCCCTTCCCTCCTGCTGGCCCAGACCCCCGTTGCTGGTGCTCTGACTCGACCTGGCTGCCTGCCTGGCCTGTGGCAGCTCCCAGCCCTCCAGCTGCCCCTTCCTCCAGCCATTGCACTTCAGTGCCTCATGCCTGGCACCCCCACAACCCCAGCCAGGCTCTTTGTCACCCCCTGCTGCTTGCTCTGTTCCTTAAGGCAGCAACCAGCGGCCACCTAGTCTTTGGAAGGTGGCTGGTGCTGCCAGTGTGAAACACGTGGGGCTGTGAAGACAGTGTGAAAGGAGAATGCAGAGCATCTCATCATTTTCCAGACACACCAAATGCGTGTTTAGATGGTAACAGCTTGAATGTGTTGGGTTACTTGAAATGTATTATTGAAATCAACCTCATTTTTTTCTTTTAATGTGGCCACCAGCACACAGAGAGTTAAGAAATGTGGCTCCCACTCCTGTTAGTGCTGCTCAGATGTTGGTGGGGCCCCCTCAGGACGGGGGAGGCTGCATCCGGGGCAGGGGGCTGCTGTGATGCGTCTCAGTGGGAAGATTTAGAAGAAAGGGGGCCCTTCAGAGGGCAAGCTCCACGCTGAGAACTTTCCTAGTTCTCCGCCTACCGGCCTCCAAGTAGACAATCCGTGACCCCAGCTGTAAAGGTGGGCACCAGCGCAGGCCACTGCCTTCGTCACTGGAGCCTACGGAGCAGCCCCTTCCGCCCGCCTGCCTCACGGGCACGCCACTGCCCAGGGGAGGACCCCGGCGCCCGAGGGAGCAAACCTTGATCAAGGTGCCACCACAGAATACCATTTTTAATCCTAAAGGAAAGCCACGTTCTAAAATTTGCAGCTCCTTCATGTTCATTTTAACAGTTGAAGCCAGAACTCATCCTTGCTGTGCACGAAAACTGGCCCCCGTACATCCAGCGACAAGACTGGGGCGTCCAAGGTGGGAAATGAGGACCTAAGAAGCCCCCAGGGGTGAAGGGGACAGCTGGGTCTCTGCTCTGCCCCCACCACAAACAGCCAGACCCCCAACCCTGGCAGCAGCGCTCAGGAGGGCGCCCTGGTGCTCAGGTTCCCAACCACAATGCCTGCCACTGCTGTGCATTAGAAATGGAGGTTAGGTTTTCAGTTGCAATTCAGACTGAAAAAGCAGCACCACCGTGAGCAAAGCGACATTACTGGGTAGGTTTAGAACAAGCAGCCAGCTCTCCAGGCTGCACCTTCACCTTCGGGAGGCCCCACTCAGCAGCAAGTCGGGGGCTTGGGGTGCTCCTGCTGTGGGACGGGGGCCTGCAAGACCGCGTGCTGGGCCTAAGTCCCTGGAAGGCAGAGGCTGGGGAGAGGCAGGGGAACTAGGAGCTCTGATGTGGGCTGCTTGGGTTAGGACATGAGATAGAAGAACATGGAATATACAAGGATTTGCTTCACCCTATTTGTGTATTTGACTTGTAAGGATTCTGGGCAGTTTTGCTCTGTGGTGGGGGGGATTGTTCATAAAGAGACCAAGCATCAGAGGCCTGAGACATTCCAACATTTCACACTGTCTGCATTTTAATGAGCTGTTTCAGTCACCTAATAAACTTATTTGAGTTTGAAACTTCAGTAAGGTTTTAATTGCAAAAACCAAATTAACTGCAAATAGCCCCTTCTACCGTAGAGCCAATGCCCTGGCGGGGTGGGGGCCTGGGAGGCACTCCAGGCTGCCCTGCAGAGGTCCCCCCAGTGCCCACTGTGTCCAGCAGGTCACTCTGTACATACTTCCAGGCTGCTCGCCCCAGCCTTGCCCTGACCAGGGAGCACCTGGACCGCTATGGGAGCCATGGAGGGGACGCCTACCTGCGCAACGTGAAGCGCACCGTGTCCTCGTTGTGGGAGGCCACCATCACTTTGGCTTTGGCGTTGTGCTTCAGCTCCTCCAGGACATAACTGAGGCACCTGGGGGGGGGGGGGGCGGGTGGCACATGAGCCTGGGCCTGGAGTGTCCCCCACAGTGGCAAAGGCTATGGTTGTCCACCAAGCCCTCCCGTTCTAAAGGTGCTCATGGTGACAGGACCGAGGCAAGGAGCACCTGTCCCTCCCCAGTGCCTTGTAAGAAAAGCTGAGCAGCTCAGCACTACACATTCAGAGGGACCAAGCTGAGGCACAGTGCCATGTGTGCCCATGAGTGACAGCTTCAGGAAAGGGTCTTCCAGGAAATTTAGGGTCAGTGGGCTCCCTGTGCCAGGGCAGTGCTGAACAGTGCCTCCATCTGGCAATGAAAGTGACTCGGCCTGGTGCTTGCTGCCTGATTCGGCAGCTGCGTTTCCAGCAACAGCTGTGATGGCCTGCCGCTGACCTGGGGACCCAGGTCCAGCTTTTCCAGAAAAACAAGGACAGGAGTGAGTGCGCTGCACCAGCCACCATGTGGGCCACACCAGTAAATGCCAGGCAGTGAGGGGAAACACTGCGGTCCCTGAATTTACAACTGTCCACACAGCCTCCGAGAGAAATGGCACGGAGGTCAGCCAGTCCACACTGCGTCAGACACCACAATGGGCAGTCCCGGAAGCAAGGTGAGTGCGGTGTGGGTAAGGCCACTCAGGCACCAGCAGGAGCTGCTGGGACCCAGGCCAGCTTAGTTTGGTCCAGTCAACTTTTCTGTGTTGAAGAGCCACCTTAATGTGTTTGAAAAGGTAAAGCAAAAGCAGAGAAAAATAATCAGTTCAGGCCTCAGGGCAAAAGCCTTGCTCCTACCAGGAGCTTCTGACCTCCAGGGCTGCTCCCCCTCTGGATGGGGGTCCATTGGCTCAGCTCCAGCACCAAGGAGGGACATCTCCCTCAACGCTTCCTCACTCCCCTCCCCAGGTGGCCCAGGCCCTGGGAGCCAAGGAGGTCCGGCACACCTGTGGTACATAGCGTTGGTGGCCTCATACGTGGGGTTAATGGGGTCCTCGTAGCCAATCTCTGCAGCACGGGCTCGTTCCTGGGCCATGTATGCTCCCCGCACCAGCTTGGCTCCAAAACACCAGCCCTCACGGCGAGCTAGTTCCACGTCCAGGGTGACGCTGTCATAGGCATCCTGCAGAGTCATGGCCAAAAGTCAGTAACTAGGTCAGCTCCTCTCCAGCCAGCACCCCCTAGGGCCTTCCTGGGCCCAAGAGCCTCAGGGGCATAGTCTGCCAGGGCCACCAGGGTGGTGGCAGCTGGCTGAGGTGCCTGGTTCCCTATGAGTGCTCAGGTGTGGGTGAGGGGGGGCCCTTGGACCTCTGCCCTCAAGGAATGTTGACAGAGGGGCCATCTGCAGCTTCTTCTGTTTGGCCTGGAGGTAGTCCTTCAAGGGGACAGGCCAGGTGCCAGCAGCCATGGTACATGGCAGTCTTCTCAGGCGGACTTGGGGGTGGGCATCGCCTGGAGAGCCCCCTGCCCCCACAGCCTTAACACCCACCCTACCTCACGGCCTCCAAACACCTCACTCGCCCCCAGTGGTGGCCCGTTCTTGGTTTGTGCGAGGCTTCCCCCTGAGGAGTCACTAAAGATGCTGCACAACTCTAGCCCCATCGTCTTCCTGAGAAGGGCCAGAGCCTCATCGGGTTCTCAGAGGGACCCGACCGAGAGATGGGAGAAAAGGGTCATCCTGAAGGCTCTGACATCTGGGGCTGAAAGCACATTCTGTGGGCCTTAAACAAGCTCCCTCCTTGTCTTCCTGCCCTTTCAACACCCTCGTCTGGGACCAGGGGCCCATGGGAGGGGCCAGCCT